TTTATGATTCCTTCTGCTCACTCATTTGTCCATCCATCTGTAAGTACTGCAAGACAGTGCTTTGTTTTGTTTTTTTGTTTTTCCCTTGCACAGATTGTATTACACGTTCATATTCTGACTCTAAAAAGAGGCTTGCTTCAGGACCAAAGGTGAAAGATGTGCATGAAGAGTTGTTTCTTAAGAACACAAACCTTGAATCACAAAGAAAGTCCATTCCCATGCAGAGAAAAGATAACTGGCTGGGAAGCCCTCTTGGCTAAACGGGGAAATCACGGTCCTCTTAAGAAAGAGGCTTATAAACAAGCTTGGAGTGGGCCCCAAGGAGGACTGTTCCACAATGGCCTGCATTTACAGGGAACAAATAGGACAGGCTAAAGCAGCAGCCAAACTTAAATTAGCAAAGGGAATCAAGGACAAGAAGAAATCCTTTTTTAGGTACATAGGGAACAGGAGGACAACAAATGAGAGTGTGGGACCATTACTCAACTCAGGAGAGCTGGTTACTGGTACTCAGGAGGAAGCTGAACTCCTGAATGACTACTTTGCCTCCTGTCTTTCACCAAACCAAGGGGAAAACCACGCCAGGTAGAGTAGAGGATGAGCATGGTAGGAATAGGCCTTCCTACTATTGCCGTAGAATTGGTGTAGGACCAGTTAAAAAAAAAAAATAGACATATACAAGTCAGCGGGACTGGATGATCTTCTTCATCCAAGAGTGGTGAAGGAGCTGGCTGAAGTCATTGTGGGACCCCTGGAAAAACTCTTCCACAACTTGTGGCACTCTGGAGAAGTCCCTAAGGACTGGAAGAGGGCCGGCCAGTGTTGTACCCATCCACAAGAAGGGCAGGAGGGAGGACCCAGGTAACTATAAGCCAGTTCACCTAACTTTCATCCTAGGGAAAATCCTAGAAAGTTCATCAAGGAATCTATCTGCGATAAGCTTGCAGAAGGTAAGATTCTGAATGACAGCTAGCATCATGGGTAGGTCTTGCCTTACCAAACTCATCTCTTTCTATGACCAGGTAAATTGCCACTTGGACATGACAGAGCAGGTTGACATTGTATACCTGGACTTCCAAAAGGCCTTTGATCTAGTATCCCACAATGGCCTTGTGGGAAAATTGGAGGATTGTGGGCTTAACTCTGAGACAGTCAGGTGCCTGAGAGACTGGCTGCAGGATAGGACCCAGAGAGTTGTTAGTGAATGGATCTGTGTCATCTGGGCTAGAAGTGGGCAGCGGTGTGCCACAGGGGTTGGTGCTTGGTCCAGTACTTTTCAACATTTTTAACGATTTGGATGTGGGGGTGAAGAGCTCACTGGCCAAGTTTGTGGACGATATTAAGTTATGGAGGAGCATGGTCACACTTGAAGTTAGGCTACAGAGACAGGCTAGCAAGTTGGGCGGGTCACAATCTGATGACGTTCAACATTGAAAAATGTAAAGTGCTCCACCTCAGGACGAGCAACCCCCAACACGCCTGCAGGCTTGGCAGCACCGAACTGACTAGCACCACGAATGAAAGGGACCTGGGGGTAATAATAGACTACAGTATGAATATGAGCTGGCAGTGTGATGCTGTAGCCAGTAGGGCAAATAATACTCTGGTATGCCTCTCCAGCAAAACCAAGGAGGTGATTCTTTTGGACTGCTCAGCACTGGTGAGACTGCAGCTAGAGTACTGCATCCAGTTCTGGGCACTACACTTTAACAAGGACGTGGATAAGTTTGAGAGAGTCCAAAGAAGAGCCACTCGTATGATCAGAGTCTTAAAAGGCAAGCCGTATGAAGAAAGACTGAGGGATCTGGGACTCTTCAGCCTGAGGAAAAGAAGGCTGAGAGGGGACCAGGTAGTAGCTTACTGCTACACTAGAGGAATACATCAAGGGCTTGGTGAGCAACTGTTCACCAGGGCACCCAAGGGGAAAACCTGGAGTAATGACTGGAAGATCGATTCAGGCTCAACATTATAAAAAACTTCTTCACAGTCGGGGTGTCCAGATTGTGGAATAAGCTCCTCCTTCCAGAGGTGCAGTCACCTACCCTGGAAGTCTTAAAGAGGAGACTAGACAGTTGCCTTGTTGGGGTCACCTGACCCCCAGTTATCTTTCCTGCTTGGTGCACTGGACCTGATGATCTTCCAAGGTCCCGTCCAGCCTTGCAATATATGAATGTCTGCTGGGCAAACGGTATTATGGTCTTAGTAATTTAAAGCTTCCAGTATTCATTTTCAGTTATTGACAATGGCGTCCCAGAAGAATATATTGCCCTTGCAAGAGCTTGGTCAGTTTTTTTCCTGACCTTCAGGTGTCATCTTGTCTACAAATTAAGCTACTGAGTCTTTTGTATATAGCTGGTTGCAATATTTGCATAGGCTACTGGTGCCTCCTGATCCTGGGGGTCCCCTAGCGGCTGATCACTGACTGGGGCGAGTGCCAGGGTGGGTTTCCTAGTGGCTGATCGCCACCTCCGGCGTAAGTGCCAGTGGTAAACCCAGAAGTGCTGCCGGCACTTCTCTTGGCACCCCCACATTCTCAGGGGGGCATCAGTGGTTGCCCCCCCATGCACTGGCCAGTGAAGGCCAATCTCATGGGGGGGCATATGCCCCCCATGCCTCCCCTATGCATCGCCTATGAATATTTGGTTACTTGAGGAAGTTGACTGGGCAACCCTTTGTGATGCTGGTGTTTATAGAAAAAGCAGCAGCAGTAGGAGGACTTTTGGATCAAGAATGTTGGAAAGAGCTACTTGCACTTTCATCATCATGATCTACCTCCTCCTCACTTACACCCATGAAGGATTTTTTTAATGTCTGCAGGACACTTCTTACATACAAGGACGTGTTTGGTTATCCTAATAGCATGTGGAAATGCATGTTTCATTTGCTGGTATTTGCAAATCACATTTTTTTTCCCCTCAGAATGACTTGCAGTGTGGAAATGATTCCATATGCCAGAAGTTGATCGCACCATTTTTTCTGAGGGAGAAAAAAGAAAAATGTAATTTAGTGTCTAGCTTGCATATATATACACACTAAGCTACAGCATATACAAATTTAGTAATGGATGGAGGAGAGGTCTTCTCAGAGTTGACTGTGAGCAACTTCCCTGCCCTGCAGGCCTCAGCTCACTGCTAAGGTTAGGTGATTTGTCACAAAACAGCAGATTGGGAATTCAATTATGAATTACATAGGTTATAAAAATATACTAATGCAGATAAAATACAGTTTAATATACTGAATTCAGATAAATTTAAACTCTTACTTTTCAATAAAGAAATATACTTTCTTTCAGCTTGTTTGTACTGCTTCTGTACTTCTGTGGATCTCAAGGTCACAGGGCCAGGAGGAGGCAGGTTCCTTCCAACTCCAAAATGTTTAGACTTGCTCTGTCTCCTTTCCTGAGGCTTTTGAGCAAGTAGGGCAATAAGCTCCTTGTTTCTAATCTCTACAGAAACAAATGGATGCTGCTGCCAGTGTCCACTCCCTGTGCTTTGAGGCCTAGTCAGGACGGGAGCAGATCCACCAAGCTCTAGATCAAAAGTCAACAATAGAGGAAGTCCACAAGCAAAGAAGGAACTGAATCCTTCTTCCTTCTCTTGTGAAAATGGCAGTGCCCCATGGGGGCAGAAATGCATCTTTCTCTTGTATTTGAGAGTTCTGTTGTACTGCTTGTCCTCGGTGTACAGGAATTGTAATGGTCTGATATTGTAGATAGTCTTATGTAAAAGTCTTCCTATTACATAGTTATTAGAAAACATTTTTGGGGAGTGAAGGGTAGCGATATATGAACACCTTATCTTAAACATTTTATTCATCATTCTAAGAGAAAATATTTCATAAGAGGTTTTTTAAAATTTTCCAAAATGTTTAAATTTTTCCAGCCTTTTGGGGGGGGGGGGGAAAACACCAAAAAAAGTCCTCAAGAAAAAACCGTTTTTCCACGTTTTTTTTCCTAGGTTTTTTTTCTGGGCCTTCACATCTCTAGTGCTGTACCCTCTTTTAGTAAATCCTGGATCTCTTCATGCTGATGACCAGGTCCATGTTAATTCTTTCATCACTTGGTGATGACCCAGGAAGAATATCTGTGACCATTCCCTTTAAGTTTTGAGTTTTCCTTGATGGGATCATATATACAACATAGCCAGCTTTTCAGCCAGATGCATTGCCCTGAGACCTGAAATTTTCTTCATGTCCAGTTTCAACCTTCCACTCCTCACTAAATTCAAAATTCACATTCCTCTGCAACATCCAAAATTGTTAATCTTCCCCCTCTGACTCTCAAGATTTATTTTTTATCTGAAATCAGTGTTGTGAGGGAATTGGCATACTTTAAAGTATCTGACTTTGGTATGTGAGAACCCTCCTCTCTTCTTGTGATTCACTATAATGTATATTTTAAGGAACTTGAACAAGAATTCAGGGAAGATTAAAAAAGTTGACTTGTTTTGGGGTTTCTTTGATGCATGCCTTGAAATGCTAAGTGTTTTTTTTCACAAAACATGGAGTACTTGTCCTTTCTAAATGAGCTGTGATTAGTGTACATCAAGTTCTGCACCCAAAATCATGGGCCACTTTCAAAAATCTCGACCATGCTTTCAATCTCTTTGTAAGGTGCAATGTGTAATCTCTTTCTATGGCACCATATCAAATGTCACATAGCATCAGCCAAGGATAGAATGCTCTTCTCCCTCTTTGCTCAACACTTTGTACATTTTCCTTTTTTTTCTGGAACACCTCATTCTAACCAAATTCTCTAAGCTTATACTTCCCTTCACTTTAAAATCAAGCCATCTAATTTAACAAGGTCATTTAAAGGGATCTTTGTTTCTCCAGTGGCAGGTGTCTTTTAGGATTAGTCACGAGTTCTGGGGGTGTAGCTTCTAAGTCCCAAAGGGAAAGTTTTGAAAACCCTTTAAGGGCACAGTTAATCTGTCTTGAGAGGTGAAGATTTTGGCAAAACCTTAGGCTGCCTATACATGTGCTTTTTGTCATTCTAATTGGAACGTGTTGGAGCAGATTTGATTTAACTGAGACTGTTCAACTTCTTAATTAGAATGCTGCGGTGTTGCCGAAGTGTCGTGTGTTAAGCTCCTGTGTGTTTTTTAAATGGCTGTGGGGTGCTTTAACTAAACCATGTTGAATGGGGTTTAGATAAAATGTCCTACAGCCATTTTTAAACCTGTGGGGGCTTAATACATGCAACAGTGAGGTGTTTTAATTAGAGTGGCTGCCTGGGAATCTCTTTAGTTAACACTTCCCACACACATACCTCTAAGCATGTATATGGTTAGTCTTGGATACTATGACCATAGGTGCTACAGAGAACCCATCAGCCCTTACAGAAACTCTTAGTGTAGTTAATTCCTTGAAGTCTGCAAGAGGAGTAGATTCTGAATTGTGGAAGTAGTTACACTTGAGAATCTGGTCTGACTTTAGTCTTGCCATAGTCTATTCTTTTTGATAAAATACTAGAGTGGTTGAGAACTTAGTTGTGATACTAGCTTCCTTCAAGAATGGTAGTTCAGCTGTTGCTGAAGGAAGAGTTATCTTGATTCTGATATTCTTGCCTGTCTTCCACCCTTTGGTTTTTGAGTAAAATTAGAGAGAAAACTGTGGTAGGATGATGTTTCTTCTGCCATTTTCTTTTCACCTGGGACTCTTACAGTCTCTCTCTTTTTTTTAATTTAGTCCTCACTGACATGGCCTCTTAAGCTCATTGACTGGTAACTTTTGTAACTGTGGGCAGGAGAATCCCAAACTGATTTTTTTTTCTATAGCTGCTATCTTCTGATACTGGGATTGTGGAGATTCGCCTGCAGAGCTTGGTGGAATAGATGCTAGAGAGCTCTTGTTCTATCATCTGGGAGATTCCAGAAAGTTAGGTAGAGCAACTGGTCTCCTGCTCCAAGGCTGTTCCTGTGAGTGTCCTACAGCACTCAGTTATGTTATCCCTCTGCCTCAGCTGGGGTGGGACTCAGTGATATATAATCCCCCTCCATATTGTTACTCATACAAAGTCATGTTTGCATTTCAGAGAGCATTCATTTTATTTGAGTTTATCGTGTTACTATTATTTTAACTTGGCTGTTGACATTTCATTTTTGATTCACTTTTGATGCATTGTCACTTGTTCTCCAAAGATGTTCTGTTAGTCAGCCGGGTCCACTGATGTGTTCCTTGGTACAGAAATAACTTGACTTGTTTGCGTGCGAGCTGTTGAAATCTGTGCCTTGTACACTTTTTAATGTTGATGTTGCTAGTCTCTTGAGGTTTCTGCTGTCAGCACACTGCAATCAGCATGTATCTGGATGATAAAATGGACACAGTGAGTGAATGCGAGTCTCAGCAGCTAGGCTGTAGAAACCGACATGGACCATGTGTTGCCTCTTTAATGCATTACGGTTGTTAGGGCAGTCCGCTGGGATGGCAAACGATAGCTAAGCTTCTTACTCAGGCATTTGGCTTAAGTAATGTATTTCTTGAAGTTGCCATGTTTAGCTCTGGCCAGCAACATCTTTATTTAGAGGGGACCTGATAATATATGACAACATGGTGGGAGAACACTGTTGACTTGCCCTACAGTGGTTTAGTAATGTCATGGTTCATCAGCTCAGTTCTCACATGAGCCCTGTAGGTCAGCTGTCATGTGTAGTGAGATACTTCAGGAGACACCAGTAGTGACAGTTGAAGTAGCTTCCTTTATTGATGAGCAGTGTTTGTGCTGCTGTGAACTGGGTGGGAAAGCTGGCAAACTCCTCCAGATTTATGACCATTCAAATTTCCTCTTTGTTGCCATCTTCTGCAAACTATACTTGAGCATACGGTGTTCTTAGAACCCTTTCCTGGCACATTCACTTCCTTAGAAGCAGTCTGAACTTCACTATTACATCAGCATGCAAATGTGCCCCAGAGTAGGGCTCCATAGGGAATCCCACCTTCAGAAAACACTAAATATTGGGGAGTATCTTTTTAATCATCTCCAAGGTCATCATAAAACATGGTATAAATATGTATGCTTTCAGACTACATTGGTAAACAGCAGTTCTTGGTTCCATTGCAGTTTTCTTTTTTGTGGGGGGGGAACATGGGGGAGGGGAGGCTACCACTTCAGTCACAATAGAGTCCAGTAGCTTCCCACATAAATTAAATTTCTAAGCTCAGACTTGCAGGCCTTATGCAATGTTTTACTCTTTCCTCTTGAGCAGAGAGGCTCTGTTTGGTGAATAAGTGTCATCATGATGGAAATCCATCCTCTGCTCTTTGAAAGAGTGACTTGTGTTAGTCTGAAGGCAGGGTAGAGTTACATTTTACAGATTGAGATGCATAAGCTTTCGTAAGCAACAGCTTGCTTTGTCAGATGCTATGAAAAGACTTTCATATAAAAAGTCCTTTTGCAGCATCCGCCAAAGTAAACTGTTGCTTAAGAAAGCGTATGCATCTCTGAATTAGTCAGTGTATAATGAGGTGGCCTACCTGATAAGGCACAGGCAGATCAGGAAGAGGGCACAGTAGCAGATAGAACAGGAAGCAGAAGGCAGAGCAGCAAATTGCTTAATTTGCTGTTCTGCGTAGGGAGCACAGGGCAGGGAACAGAAAGCAGAGGAAGGGGAGTGGTCCTCAGGGAGGGTATGGGACTGATCTGTGGCACACCTGCCAAAAAAATTGGGCCCAACTGCTCTGTAAGAGGTGACTCTACCCTGCCCTCTCTCAAAGACTGGATTTGTAGTGTCCCCTAAAAGGGATGGCTTCTAAACAAATCTGATTTCCTTATACAGTCTGTCACCTCCTGCGAGAGATGTGTTTCTCACTTTAATTTCTTTAGTCTTGAAGGGTATCTTGGCAGGCCTCTGGAGAGATGTAGCTACTAATGTTTGATCATCAATAATTACACATTAATGACTTGGAAGGTTGGATTCATGTCACCAGACATGTCATGCCCAGGGATCCTGGTTTTCTCTGATTAAAAAAAAATTGCAGATTCTCTGGTTTAAACAAACAAACAAACAAACAAACCAAAAACAACAACCCCTCCCCCAACCAAACAACCCCCAAAATCCATTATTAAAATTAAAGGTCCCCCTCAGCCCCCCACTGGCCATGATGGTGCCCCTCACTTCCCCCTCCACAGCCTTCCCAGCCCTGCTGGTGTCCCTCTTTCCCCCCACAGCCCTGCTCATGTGTCCCTTGCCCCTCGCTCATGGGCCCTGGCCCCCCAGCCTTGCCAGAGGGGGCCCCCAGCTGCTGGGGCTGTGGGGCCAGGGACTCAGTTCCCTGCCTCCAACAGAAGGCAGCTGCAGCAGAGGGAGCACTGGTTGGCTCCCCCACTGCTGCCTGCTTGCTGCGGGCTTGATGGGGGCAGGGCTGGCTCCCAGTGGCAGCATGCGCTCCTGGGAGGCAGGGGGGACCTGTGCCCTCCAAATCTGTGGGGGGGGGCAAGGGAAGGCTGGGTACGCACTGTGGACTTTTGCTCCTGGCCCTGCTGCCCTCCCCCAGGGCCTCTGCAATGCAGCATGTGTAACCCAGTGTGGTAGGGCATAGCGGGGCCGCGCAGGAAAACTGCTTGCTTGCAGCAGCTCCCCTCATGTACTAGGGTGTGGGTCCAACTGTGGCTGTGTTTCTTCTGCCCCCCACCCCCTGCTTTGTGGATCTGAGCATTGCTGACCCCTGCTGTTTATTCCCTGCACCTGTTGGCAGCAGTAAGGCCTGGGGGCAAGTTTTAAGAGGTCTCAAATAAGTTTAGCTTTAGCTTAAGCCCCCACTGAGAAACCTGGGACAACTAGATTTAAACTGGATGAACAAACTCCCTTGCAAGCAATGTATCAACAAAAGCCAGGTTTATTACAGGACAAAGGGGAAAGTTTCTCAGTTACTCTGGGGAATTAAAGTATAGTTGCAGGATTCCAGCTACATTTTCAGCTTTCGGACTTTGATGCTGAGCACTGAGAAGAACCCCAAGTTTGATGAAATTTCTTTCCATGTCAAATGAATTTATAGTGAGTTACAGGAGAACCACTGCATATTTTGTGGGTTGGGAATGCCGTCTTCAACAGCCGTCCACAACTGAATAGGATCCTCAACATCTGCAAACCCATCTTTGACAATTCCTAAATGCACTGGCCATTACATGCTACACTCCCTGGGCAGCTTTAATTCTGATTTCACAGTTTTGTAATCTATACAGACAGAACCGATTTGTTTAGGATCCAGTGCTCAAACAGTGCAGAGAAAATCAACTGCTGGCTGTTTACTTTTCATGCTGTTCTGTCTCAGTTTATCAGCAGCACTCTGAGCAGCTGTGGATCATCTCACATTATCAGTTGCTAAAACAAGGTGCTCCAACCACAAAATTAAATGCAAGACAGTGTTGTACACTTTGTGTACTTGGTATTTCTGGAAGTATAAAAAGTCCGGTGCTGTCACCAGGCATCCACAGTTCTCTGCAGTGTACTTCACATCATTGTGCAGGTCTGCTATTGCCAACAGGCTGGCCAGTTCCTGCAGAACAGCTGTATTCCCTTGTTCTGTTTGTTCAAGTTTCACAAACCCATGATAGAGCCAGGAATACTGTGCATGGTACTTGATGCAATTGAACCATGTGTTCCACGTGGTCACAACTGGTTCTGGTGGAAGTGCTGGTGAATCAGTATTCTGATCCTCCAAGTATGTCAAGAATCATGCATGACAATCTGGAGCTTTTACTAAAAGTGACTTCATTAAAGCAACAAAGCGATCCACTTGCTTGAAGGTCTCTTGCCAAGTAGTTCCTGCCAAAGCAACTATATGTGCATAGCAATGAATATGTACACAGTTTGACCACAGGCCACAAAGCACATCGTTCCAAGCCTTCACCATGTAGTTTGCATTGTCTGTTACAAATGCCAATATTCTCTCGTGGGATGGCAAATTCCATCAGACAAGGAATCAAGGCTTTTGCAATGGCGGCATGATTAACTTTCCTCAGGCACACTGTCTTTACCAGCTGTGGTTTGGGAACGTTAGCGTGCTTAGCACCTGAAATAAAATGTTGAAAACTGGTCTGTTTTGGAAGTCAGTTGTTCTGTCAGCAAGCACAGCAGTAAAAACTTGGAGGGAAACTTCAAGAAGGCTCTGTTTTTCCTCTTCAGAAAGAGCCAATTTGTGGGAATACAATTGGTCTGACTTGGGAATGGCACCACTTCCATTAATGTACTTGCTCCGAAGATCCCTGACAACAGATAAATCCATTTTATGCAGATGAATGGTGCTTTTAAACACATTTGAACAAAATTCAAAATGATGGTGTCACAGTGGGGTTTGGCAGCTGTAGAACGCTGGAATGCTGCAGTCACAGTGCATTGTTTCTTTGATGGCTGTGCTTTTTCAGTGTCCTCTCTTCGTGTCTCTTGGTTCTGTTTATGCTTAGCACTTTCCATGTGTTCCATAATTGTCTACCTTTGAACATGATCTACAGCCTTATTGCATGTAATGCAGAACAGCATGGTACCGTCAGTGTGAAACTTACTTTTGCCAAACTCGGCAACACGGTCTTTAGGTGTGAGTTTCACAGTCTTTGGCATCTTTTCAGGACTTGAATATGATGTCTGGAGGCTGAAGTAAAATTTGAGATGTATCAAACACGCGAGCCCTTGTTACATAGGGACGAACTTAATTCTCAGTTGTACTTTTTTCACTGAAAGCACGAAATCAAGTATTTTCCATGAAAGAAAGCAAGCGAGCCCTGCATTTTTGTTGGGCCTGGGGAAAAAAACGGACTCCTTCATTCCAAGCAGAAAAGGTGCCAGGGGGGAAAGAAAAGCCTTTCCCCTGTAGAGCAAACTGTGGCCTTGAAATGCAGGGACAGGAGTCTGGGAGCAACACAGGACTGCCAGGTGCCAGCCGGCACTGCCTGTGGGGCCTGGCCCAGTGCAGCCAGTCAGCAGCTGGTGTAAGATTCCAAGTAGAAGATGTGCCCCTACTGCAGAGGAAGACAACCCCCCACAGTCTCTACCAATCTGACCAGGGGAAAACTCATTCCTGACCCCAATGCAGCACAGCATCAGTCCGACTCTGAACCAGATGGGCAAGACCCTGTAGCTAGGACTATCCAGGGCTGAGTCTCAGGAGGAGCGTTGGCATATCCCTGAATGGTGGCAGACCAACCTCTTCTTGAACACCTCCAGTGCAGGAGACTTCACAGCTTCCTTGAGTTCCACTGCCCCCTGCTCTAACTGGGAGTCCAATTGAAACTGAACCAAAACCTAAGAACTGGTTAGAACTGGTGTTTTGATTTGCCCCTGAGCCATCATTTGCTCTGTCCTACTGAACCACAGTGGGAATCAAGCCACCAAAAATCACCGGGGTCACCAGTTAACCATGTCTTGCTGGTTAGACCAACCAGGGTTACTGATTAAATGGAGGTCAGTAGTTACCCCACAAGTCAGATTGAGGTGACCGGTTCAGTCTTCATTAAAACTGCCAACAACAATTTATTTAAACTGTAAAAACCAGTGGCACACATGAAGACACACAAAGATAAAATGATATGTTTACTGCTGCCACAAAGACTCGTCATACTTCTCTATTGCGAATCCTGGGACTTTCTGATTTTGCAATTTGTATCACGCTTCTCTTTCACTCCTTTAGTCTATATGCTTAATAGAGAACGGAGTTAAATGTATGTAAACAGCTGTAAATAAATATTACTGCTTTCTTACTGGACTCTTATTCTTAAATCTTACGACAGCTTAAGGTCAACTAGTTCCAAATGCCCACTTCCAAAGCCTGCTTGACACTTCATGCGGTTGTAGCATGTAGGAGGTGGAGAGGGATGGGGACAGGCAAGATCCTGGGAGCAATGGAAGACAATGGGATACTGATGGCATGCTTGCAGGTGCTGTGAATGGGTGGAAGACTTGGGGCAGGCTCCCTGACTGGGAGGTAGTAGGCTGTGAAGAAGTCCCTAGGCAGTCCCACAGGGTGAGAAGGGGCTAGGGCCACAGCTGAGACCACTCTGTACAACCCAGGGAATTATGTGCAGAAAAATTCAAAAAAACGTACAGCAAAACTCAACAACATTATGCAAAATTAATTGCTTTAAAAAATATAAATTAAACTAAATATAACGGTATTTGACCCATCCTTAGGAATATATGCAGGTACTTTTGTATGGATGGGGGGTTGGTGTGTGTGTGTGTGTGTGTTGCAGGGGTGGGATTTGTGAAGGTGTTGGATGTGAATGTTGGGTTTGTAGGAGGGTGAAGTGTTGCGGGGGTGGGCTTGAGCATGGTGTTTGCAAGCAGGTGCAAGTGTGGGGGGGGTGGTATAAAAGCCCCCGCCATCAGCCTGAACAGTTTCCATGCCTCTGTGTGCAGTATCCTGCAGGAAGCTGCATGTGGAGGTGTGGAGCCCGCCCAGCCCAGCGCCTCCATGTTACACATGCAGGTGGCCAGGCACTCCAGTGGGGATTGGGGGTTTGCAGCTGGCCAGAGTGCCTGGCCAGCTGCACATGAAGCGTGGAGGTGCCAAGCCCAGTCGGGCTGCTAGTGCTTCACGTGCAGGCAGCCAGGCACTGTGGCCAGCTGCAGACCCCTGATCCCTGCCAGAGTCCCTGTCTGCCTTTACATCCCCAATCTCCGCCAGAGTCTCCAGCCACGTTTACACCCCTGATCCTGGCTGGAGGGCCTGGTTGCCTGCACGCGCAGCACTAGTGGCCCAACCAGGCTCAGTGCCACCATGTTTCACATGCAGCTGGCCAGGCACTCTGGCCAGCTGCAAGCCCCCCCACCCCCTTCCCAGCTGGAGTGCCTGGCCACCTTTACACACATGATCCCAGCCAAGGTGCCTGGCTGGCTGTGCCTTAAACATGGAGGCACTGAGCCCGGTTGGACTACTAGTGCTTCACATGCAGGCAGCCAGGCAGTGGCAAAATGTAGGGGGTGCACACACAGCCCCTGAGAGTGTTGGTGCTCTCCCTGATGGCTGTACTCACTGCTTAGCCGCTTTTGGGATTGGCTGTGGCCAGCGCTTGCTCCCAGAAGCAGCCACAGCCATTCCTGAAAGCAGCTGCAGCAAGCACAGTGATCGGCCTTTGTGGGATCACATGGGACCCCACCGCCCCAGACTGCAGGATTGCCTGTGGGGGGACCCCCACTCTGGTCGGTGGGACTGGTTGCAGGGGGGGCACATGCACACCCTGACTAAGGTAGCACCAGTTGCCCATGCAGCCAGGCACTCCGTTGGCTGCAACACCCCGATCCCGGCTGGAGTGCCTCTCCCTCCCCCTCCTCCTGCCCCTCCAGGTAGGGGTAGGGCTTTTCCGCTCCTTTTGCCAAGAGCTCTTAGAGCTCTTGGCAAAAGTGGGAAATCCGTGGGTTTCTTGGCTAAAAGGGGAAATCCACGTTTTCTCTGCTAAAAATGAGAAATCTGTGGCTTTCTTCGTGGGAAACAGAAAACCCAGATCCCTGGTCATGCCACACTCTCTGGAGACAAGTAGATAGAACATGGGATTGACACTTGGAAGAAAGAGACAAGTTCTATTCTCAGATCTGCCATTAGCCTGCTTAGTGACCATGCTGTGAATCCATTTCCCCATCTGTAAAAATGGAGGTGGTACTAGCCTCCTAGATGAAACGCTTTTAGATCTCACACAGATTGTGCTATGTGGGAGGGTGGTAATTGTGACGATGGTGGTAGCAGTGCTGTTTCCCTACCCCAGGAAAGGAAAAGCAAATTCTCAGTTTGTGGCATGTTCGGGGTTGAGATCGTTTGCAAATGTCAAGCTTTGTAATGTAAAACATCCTTATTGGAAAAGTGACTACAAAGAGCTTGGTATTGTCTATTAATAAATTAGCTCCTCAGCTTCAGTTTAGGCATTCAGTATTTTAACCATCTTTAGCTGATATTTGTTCATTTAGCTTCATCAACTTTTTGCCTAGATAATTCAGTCAATCACAACAGAATTTCTGGCAACTTGGCAATTTCTGGCAAGTGTATTAAGCAACAGTTTGAAACATTGTGGAAGATGGAGCTTGCTTAATTGGATTGTATCTGTCTATTCTTCCAAGTTCAGCCCACTAAGTAGATACAGCTCACAGCAGTAAACGGAACAGAGAAGGCTCTTGATTTATCTAGCATTATAAAGTTGCATAGAGCTTTTCAATAGGCGTTTGTGTACAGTGCGCTGAGTGCAGAGCCATGAGTGGAACTCCTGCACCAGTGGTACGAGTGTGATGTGAAGGTCCCATTCCAAAGAGAAGCAGGGCACAGAGGTATGTAAAAACAGGGCTGTTGATGGTTGGTTTAAAATCTCTCCAACAACTCACTAGAGTTGATTAGTAACAAAACAAGGCCTCATTCCTCAGCGCTGTCTCAGTGGCAGTTTTGCATGCATTTGGTCTGCAGGACTTAAAAAAAACAAAGTTAAAGTCATGAGATCCAAACACCTGCTGAATGCTAGTATTTACAGTGTAGCAGGATGGAGTGGCCACTGGGGCTATTACTCAATTTATTAAATAATCTACTGTGCCTTTTCTCTGAGGTTTTCTGTTTAGCTATTTTCTCTGGCTACTCTATTGCAGAGAGAGGGAGAGTCCTCTTATTATAGCAATATTTTTGCCTTGGCTTTTTAATTATATCTAAAAATTTAATTATCTATAGAAACCCACAGTTCATTTTTAAATGGGTTTTAAATGAGAGGTTTGCATCTTTGTATTTGGAAATTGTCAGTCTCATGATTAGTGGTGTTATCTACAAGTAGCATGACCTGACATTGTAGATAAGACAAAGCTTCATGGAAGTCTGTCTTCAACATATTTTGACTTGTCTTTGCATATTTTGGCTGAAACTTTGAAGAGCACAAAGAAATGTGATATCTAAGCAAGGAGTCCAATATCCCTATATTTATTTTATAAGATGAAACTTTTCAGTAAGTGTAAATATTAGGCTGTAGCTTGTTCTGACACAAGCCTCTGTTAGCAGTTTCTCTTTTGCTTTCCTTTCTTTATCTTAGACTGAGAGAGTGCCGCTTGAACTTAATCCAAGGCTGGAAGAAGTGGTGGAATTCAGTGAAATGGAATTAGAGCCCAGTGAGACAGAAGACTTTGAGGCAAGAGGAAGTCGCTTCTCCAAGTCGGCTGATGAAAGACAGCGGATGTTAGTTCAGCGAAAGGAAGACCTGTTACAGCAGGCTCGAAAGTATGCTTCGTCGCTGACCATTCATATTGACTGATTAATTAGAATAACTTGTAGGGTGCTTGTTGTACAGAAAAACAGAGTCT